CATGTCTGTGGTTGGCGGTCCTTCCTGTCCATCGTCAACAGAGGTCTATACAGAGCAATGGACTCAAGTGGAAATCAAGTCAACAAGTTGCTCTGTTATGATGTAGCTAAATGTTGGATAGAAGAAAGGACTCTTGTTGTTGGAGAGAAGAGATGCGAAGATGGTCTTCAGTACAGAAGTGTCCGTATTCATCCCGGAATTCTGGTTCTTCAGAAACCAAAAGGAAGTCAGAGGCAGCAACAAAGTCTTCCTCCATGGTCCTCAGGTAGAAGTTCTTGTGAGTGCCACACGTACCTCTCCTTTGATTTGGTAGCAGCCATTTCAACTAGAGCCGGAGCTGGAACATCAAGAAAAATGCCCTCTGCTGCAGGAAGGAATGGCGACCAGTGGTTTGTATGCTGCGTTGTTTCCGAATGTTTACATTGCTGGTAAGAGAGACGAGACGGACGGACGTGAAGGAGGAGCTTTAATCTCCCCTGACAGAAGTCAAGCATGGGCCACACTGAAAATGCCAAAAGGCTATGGGTTGTGTTGTGTTTGTGACATGTTGGACAGATAAAGACCATGTATAGGAAATGGCTGTAGTCCCCCAGCTGAGAAACAGACATGTTAAAGATAGAAATAATACTCCACCTCTTTCTTCTCCCATCTGGGCAGAAAATGGTGCATTGACTTTAGGTTCTGTGGTAGTTGGTTGGCTCCAGGTTTGAACCCAACTGTTCCTACGTTTCACCTCTGGTTCTGTCTTGAAGGTGTACGTGACGTCTCCCTGGTTGGTCATATGAAGTCTGTGATGTCACGTTACAACAAAGGCTGTTGATGTTTGGACCTCAGAAGGTGCACAGACAAAACCCATGAATGAATGAATCTGAGTGTTTCCATGGTGTCAGTGGACCACACTGGTCACTCACTGGTCACTCTGCTGCTGCATGTTGCTGTAATTCTTTTAATTAAGATTCTGCAAGTTTCAAGCAAAGCACAAAATTAATGTTGGGTCAAGAGTTTGTTATAATGGGAATGGGAGTTTTGCCCCCCACGCCCTCCCTCCCCGTCCTTCCTCCAAGGTCTCAGAGCTACAACCATTTCTTATACTTAAAGGGTTTTTGATAATGAACCAGTTTAATGTTGAAAGTCTCACAGTAAGAACCAGACCAGGGTTCTGCTCACACACCAGAGAACAACAGGTTCAGTCGGATCACAGCCTAATGAAAGACACAACGCACACATCCAGTCAGTGTGGCCCAAGTCCAAGTCACTTTGACTAAGTGAACGAACGTCTGCTCATGATGATAAAATGATGGAGGAGACAGTCGTGCTTCTCTGAAGAAAACCATCGACCATTGTTTTTTTAAACAGTATTTATTACCAGAAGCGTTTGGAATGAGTTGTTGTCAGTGTGGGCAGTTGTAGTCCAGGGACTGGCGCCATAGGATTTCTTTGTAAATAATGGATTTTTAACTTCTGCATAGGTTTGGTTTGGTTTGGTTTAGGTTGTTTCAAACATGGGTAAGTTTAACTATAATATATATAACCTTATTTGTGTTCTATGATGGACAGTGAATGTGTAAAGAAGACAGGTCTGGATTGGACGGTGCAATGTCTTCACACCAACGGCCTATAGAGGTCAGGGGTTGTTTTGTTTTATTGTGTTTTTTTTTTTGTAGATATTTGAACAAATATTTGAACAAATTGGTGCAGAGAGCAGAGCAACCACAGGGTCAAACCCACGTCTGTGAGCCTGGGTTTGATCAACACAACTGTTTGACAATGACAACAATCTGAACGTGTCTTCTCTCTTTCCCCTTCATCTACCTGTCCCCCCCTGTCTTTGACACTCCTCCCTCATTCCCTCACCCTCTCACACACCACGAGACTTCACCCCATTCCTTAGCTCACGACACTGCTGCATTGTGGGAGCACACGAGAGTGAGTGCTAAGTGGGCCGTCCTCCTCCAGACACCGGCCAGACCCAACAAAGTGAGCAATCCAAGTGTTGGTTTCACCATTGACAGGATCCACATCAAATGTGGGGGGAGGGGGAGTAACAACACCCCCCCCCCATAATCTGTGCTGCAGCTTTTTTTAATTTTTCGTGCATCTCTGAACTGTAATGTGCAAAATGAAGTTTGACATCTCACAGTTGTATTGTTTTTTTCCTGCTTGTTCAAATGAGTCTTTTATTTTATTTGACTTTTTCTTCTTTGTTGTTCAGTCGTTTTTTTCACTGCTAGAAGTCGGGTTTTGTTTGACCAGTGTTTCACCTGGTGGTTAAAGATGTGTCTTTAACACAAAGAAGAAAACTTCTGACCTTCATACAGCTGCTGTGTGTGTGTGTGTGTGTGTTTGTTTGTTTGTGTGTGTTTGTGTGTGCGCGCCCACGCACCCCCGTGTGTTTGAGTGGTCCCTTTAAACAGTCTGAAATGATGAGCTTCCTCACTGTGTCTGTGGCTACAGGTGTGTGTGAACTGATCTTTGTGTTTTGTTGGTGTTGAGTGTGAACATGTGACCTCTCAGGACCAATCAGTTTTTGTTTTCCAGTAGAGAATTGATTATTGTTTTTGATGCACTCCTCTTTAATGACATTTGTTTTTATCCTACCTTATTATTATTGACCTTTAATGACTCCTCTCTTCATATATGACCCCCCCACCCCCATCTCATCACACCAGTTCATTCTGTCTGTGTTATCACCTTGTTCCCCTGCATGCAGCCCGGCCCCATCGCCCCCCCTCCACTCTACTCTTCTTCCTGTCTATTTATTACAGTTGAGTTTGAGTGTTAACTCCGTCACTTCTCAGTATTGTTGATCAGCAGCATTAAATCAGTAAAAGGTTTCAGCTCACTAAAAGCAAACAGTCATTAGTTAACCTCTCATTGCTCCCTCTTTGACTGTCTCCCCCTTTCTCATCTCTCCCTCTGTCTCCCCCCTCTCATCTCTTCCCTCTACAGATCTAAAATGAAATTAACCAACCATTTTGTAAATAATGTACATATTGTATTTTCAAGGGAAAAAAATCAAATAAAAATATTGTTTAAAAAGCACAGAAGTAACTGAATGCTATGGTCTTAGTTACAGCTCAGACATTTAAGAACTGTTGAATGGTAAAAGAACGAGTCTCAGAAATAACTGAGTAAACAATGAACCAAGAATGTGTCATAGAAAACAGCAGGGAAACATACACAAGAAATGGGTTTATGCCACCTGCAGGTTGGGCATGGAATTTTATTAAGTCATGAAACTCGGCTATAGAAAACAGGTGATGGAGAGCATAACGTGTTGTCAAGGAGAAAATAATATTTTTGGAGAAATGAGTGTAGGATATAAAGAGGAAAAGGAAATAAAGATGCCTGGACACCGCTTTATTACACAGAGAATCGTGCAACAAATGTCAAATGCAGAAGAAAGATGAAGCAAAGTGAAATGGGAGAAACAATAATAATTAAAACCTTAATGAGGAAGAATCTTTGACTACAGCTACTAAAGAACGATGAAAACACACCAGAAAGACAAACACGCAGGACACCAACTACGTGGTGATAAAAAATAGAACGAATCAAAGCAGACAGTGAGCGCTGACGGTGGCTACAAAGATCTGATCGTGACCAGAAGAGCATCATCAACAGTTTCCTGAACTGTTTGTCATTCTTTTCTAGAGGTGACTGGAGTCCATCCCAGCACCGTCACTGGGTGAAGGTGGGGTTACAGCCTGGGCATTTCTCTAGTCTATTATAATCAACCCTTCACACTAACGTTCACACCTACTGTCAATTTAAACTGAACAATAACCTAATGTTGCACTGAACTGAACCGTGAGAGAAAACACACTGTAGTAGCTGCAGGGAACCCATGAGAACATCCAAACAGAAAGACTCAGTTACCAGCAGGGATTAAACAAGTGATTTCTTACTGTTAGGCAAGAGGGCTAACCACTGTTCCACTGTGTGGCTATGTGTGTAATTACGAAAAACAGATTTTCACATACAAATGACAGCTGGAACTGTTCAGAACCATCAACTCAATGGTCCAGGACTTGCACTTGTACTACTGTACCACGGATAATCTTTGGCGTTGCATAAACATAGAACTGTTCACATCATAGAAACGGTGGTGTGTGCCTGCTTGGTTGTAGCCCTGTCTAACAGCCTGTCACATGACAAGCAACCATGACTGTGTTTGATCATGTGTAGCCATGTCTTTAATATTTAGACTTTAACAACAGAGCTAGGTGTAAAAACCAAGTTGTCATTTAAAGGGAACGATACAGGAACAGGAACAGGAACTGATGAAAAGAAAACTGCTCTATTCAGAGGCAAATGTTAATGTAGAAAATCTGCTGAGTCAGGTGTTCTCATAATAATAATCAGCTCTTCATCAATGGACCCTCAGCACAGCAAACATTTCAAAAGTTCTAGCAGAACATGAAAATGATGTGTGAGCTTCACAGTCCAGTCTTTTTCATTTCCCTCCTGTAAAATTGTTGCTGTGCCAAGGACTGAAAAACTGTGAATGAGTCTGATTCCAAGGCAACTGTACCAAACCAGTAAGTAAGAAAGAATCCACATGGGATTCTGAGTCAGTAAAAAAAGTGTTAGCTACAAAGTAACTGATCTTTGTTTCTGGGAAAGAGCAGAGATAGTTGTGAGGAAACAAAAATGTGAAACAGAAAAAGATTCCAGATGAAAAGTGTGGTGTGAGCTGAAAATGTAAGAGAGGTAGAGTGTTAGGGGGACACGTCCGACTGAAACTGGTGTCACGGTTGTCAGCACACACACACACACACACACACACACACACACACACACACACACACAAACACACCAAATACGCCCTGTATCTTTGTAGAAAATATTTTTGTACAGTTTCACCTGTGAAAATCTGAAAACATGAATCACAGACATCTTTTTTACAGTAGTTTAACACCAAGTAATGTACTGCAGAAGACATATATATACAGACATATATACTTATATATATATATATATACATATATATATATATGTCTGTTTATATATAGGTATAACACATAACATCCTCTGTTGCTGCTTCAGTAGTTTTCCTTCCTGAACACTGACTGGTTCTGGTTCCTACAGTATTTACATCCTCAGTCCATTCAGTCTGTCTTTCAGTGTCCATTTGGAGGGGGAGTCCAAGGAGGACGACCGCCTCCCTCTCCTCTGTCTCTGCAGGGAGACTCAGTATGGGGTGAATCTGTTGTATCCTCCTCTGTACAAACTGGCCTGGTGACAGAAAAGCATCACAGCAGATCAGTCAGCACAGATACATCAACCTGACCTTCAACAGCAGCTACCAATACTACTGTACTTCTTCTCACCATTGTACCAACGCCATAAGTAGTGGTTGGTCCAACTGAGTGGTGATAGGGGTCAGCGGCTGTAGTGTACACTCGTCCATAGCTAGAGAACAACAGGAAGAAAAGGAGGTTAATGATCCTGCTGATTGAACACAGTGGGACTCATTCACTAAAACCTCTCTGATCCTGGCTAAATACAAAAATACATTTAAAAAGTAATTGATATAAAGTTTGATATAAAACCACATGATGCATCCAGGAGAGAGAGGGCGGAGAAAAGGAAGAGGAGGCTACATCTTCATCAGTTATTAAATACTCCACCCATAGACCTTTAGGACACTATATAATAAAATAATGTGTGTGTGTGTGTGTGTGTGTGTGTAAGGCCTACCCATCACTGTAGGCTGCTGTAGCAGCAGAGGCTGCAGACTGAGCCACTCTGTATGCTGCTGGATAACCACCCTGAATGGAAAAGAGGGAATGAGTCTGAGGAAGAGTAGTAGTAGTAGTGAATGAATTTGTGTTTTTCAACAATACTCCTGATTCGTCCATCAACACTTACGTAGACCTCTGCTCCGTACAGACCTTCCTGATAGACCACCCTGAAATACATTTAAATCATTACTTTTATGTTGGAGCAGTGAACCAAACACCAGGGGTCACCCAATCCATGGTACAGGTTCTTACCCAGGGTAGGCAGGTACAGCAGTGGGTGGGGCCGCAGCAGAACGAATCGTGTTGTAAACGGCTCGACCTCGACCTCGCAAAGCAGAACCTCGATAGGCCAAGGCCGGAGTAGCTACAGGGTAGGGAAAACTGGCAACTGAAGGAGGAAGAGTGGAGGAAACATATTTAAAAGTGAATCATAAAGAAGAGACAAAAAGATCGTTGTGTGAAACACTGTGTTCCGTTCATGATTTTTACTAAGTGGAAGTTGTTGTTGTGGCTGATTTTCTCAGCTAACTTGAAGCTTCTTCTGTCTTCTAAGCTAATGTTTGCTAAGAGAGCTAACACTTCATTTTTGGCTACTTCTTTGCAAATGTTTAGCAAACGTTATCATTTTTTTGCTATTTTGCTACATGCTAAGCTAACTAGTAATTAGTTTGTTTACTATTTGAAATGGCTTTTTATGGCTTAGAGCGGGGTTGTGTCAAACTCATTTTAATTCATGGGCCACATACAACCTAATGAGCTGTCCAGTGGGCTGCACCAGTACAATCATAACATAATTACTTAAAAAATGACCTATAGTCTTTTTCCCTTTTGTATTTATGCAAAAAAAAGTACATTAGATAAATGTCTGACGGCTAACTGCTGTTTGACAACTAACTGCTGTCTGAAGGCTAACTGATGTCTGAAGGCTAACTGCTGTCTGAAGGCTAACTGCTAACAGAGTATTTACCAGCAGTGAATAGAAACTTCTGAAATAACAGTTTAGAATTCATGCCACTACTGAACTTATACTGTGAGCTCTTCTGGGTAGTGACCCACCTGGATAGTGACCCACCTGGGTAGTGACCCACCTGGGTAGTGACCCACCTGTGTAGAGCTCAGGTGCGTACATTGCTCCCATGACAGGGTTAATTTTCCATCCAGAAGCTGGATAGAAACAAGAAACCATTTGATTAGAATGGGAACCTAATTGTTTAAGGAGTGGTGGGAGTGCAGTAACTGATGTCTCACTTGAAATGTCACCATTGACTAGAGGTGTCTGTGGTTTCTTTGTTACCACTCTTGCAGTAGCATTATTGACCTGGTGGGACAAAGAATGGGAAGTTCAAGCAAGATCTACTGTAGGATTTGTTGTGTTAAACCAGTGATTAAAGTGAAATTACTAACTAACTAACTAACCTCAATCTTTCTCCCCTCTACAATCGTCCCATTCAGCTTCTCTCGTGCTCGGTCGGCTTCAGTCGCACTCTCAAAGGTGACGAATCCAAATCCCTTAAATTCGTGTGGTCATCAGTTAGTTCCTGTCCAGTCAAACTGTTCTATCGATAATGTTTACTGAGACTCACCTTGGATCCTCTCTCATTGAATATAATTTCTACATCAAGGATCTTCCCAAATTGCTGCAGGTGACACCGGTGTAGAAATGAGCTGACTTTGTATTATTGTTAGAAAAAGAACTAAAAAATCTCAGCGTTTGTGTTGAAATTGTTGGGTCAAAGTTCTTACCCCAAACATCTGGCGGAGGTCTGGGTCTCTGAAGCGGAACGGGATGTTGGATACGTGGAGGCGTTTTGGCTGGGTCTTACCTCCCCCCTCCTCATCACTTACACTCCCCGCTCCACCTCCTGATGACACAGACGCGCTGAGAGACTGAGGGTCGGTGGTGACCGCAGCCAGAGCATCGTCCTGACAGTGGAAAATGTTAAAAAGGAAAAGGACGACGACACGGAGACCAAGGAAGGGAATCAAGCAGGAGGACAACAGAAAAATGAAGGGCGGGGCGGAGAGAGTGGGGGGGGACAAGGCACAAGGGACAGGGCATCAAGTCAACCACAGAAGAAATTCAGTGACATCAGCATCACCTGACATTTTCCAAAACCCAAGAGCATTCATCAACCAGTGATCCTTCTCAGGCAGGGGTGAGGAGGGGTGAGAACAGCTCTTTAATACATGCCTGTAGGAGAACTGCTAACACATCACCAGTGACTGTCAAAGAGGTCAAAGAGGTCAAAGAGGTCAACGCAGCCACAGTTAAATAAAGTTAACGTGAACCTCTAAGTCACCAAAACAACAAAGAAACTGCTGTGAAAAATAACCAAATGAAACCTCCCCATGCAAAAACAACTACTGTGCCAAAATCAAAACATTCACTTACCCACAATGCACCACAATGCTAAAGTGTGTCTGCGTGTGTAGAGGTACATATGGGTAAATCAAGTTAATAAATATGAGACCAATGAAAGAGAGCGGATGAGAAGAGAAGAAGAGAAGAAGAAGAGGAAGAGGAACGGCCTGAGTGCAGCAGTAAAGATAAAGACGTGAAGTCACAGTGAACAAGGCAGGAAGCTGGAGGAGGAAGAGGTGATGGGAGAGGGAGCAGGAGGGAGCAGGGGGGAGGAGGGGGGTGTCTAAACTAAAAGTACCACAAGGGTCAGTTCAGGGTCACGGTGCTACTTTTCTGCGAGAGGTTAAAGGTCAATTGTCAAGGGCCATAATTAATACAAAGGGACAGACAGAGACACGGAGACATGTTGACATGAAGTGAAGCAGTGGACAAACATGTGGAGCCACATGGGCCTCTGTACGCCCTACTACAAGTACAGTCCACATCACAACCATCTACACACACGCTGCACACACTCTCTCTCACACACACACACAGGCTAGAGTGGGGGGGAGGGGGCGGGACATGGTTGAGGGGGGCAGTGGTGTCACGATGCAGATTTGTGTTTCTGGACCTGAGTGATATCTCAGAGGGGACAGGGGCTCCTCTGGTCAGCCTCCCCCTTTCAACCCTTCCCTCCATGGCGATGTCTCAACTTTCCCCCGAAAAACCAGCATGGACCCAAGTATGTCAGGGGCTCTAGTAATAAAATATATAGATGAGGCCACAGACATGGTTTATGAGAGGAGGAAGAGAGATGATGTCACACAGGGCCCACCACACACCAACCAGTCAGAGCAGTCAGACCAGTCAGACCAGTCAGACCAGTCAGCGCAGTCAGACTAGTCAGAGCAGTCAGACCAGTCAGAGCAGTCAGACCAGTCAGACGTTCGACTCTCTCCTACAAATGAGTTCATTTACACCACAGTGTCTGATATGTCAGCAATTCATCTGTATGTTTTTCTACAGATTCTAGAAGTGAACCAGCTCAGAATCAACAGCAACAACAACAATAATAATAATGATGATAATAATTATTTTTATCATCATTATATTATTATTGTTGTTGTTATTGTTTTATTGCATAATATTGACATTATTGTTATTATTGTTTTATAAATCATCATATAGCTATAGTTCAAGGGTATAACCTCATGTGTCATTTTAAAAGATCCTCATAGTACTTCATATATGTAGTACTTCTAACTGTAGACAGATACTGTAGGAGTACAGGAGTACCTGAAGTAACCTCTAACCTAAACTCTTTCATCGGCCAACAAACAAACAAGACAGCAGTTCCTGTCTTCACTGAGAGAACGCCCATCCCTCCCCATCCCTTCTCCACCTAATGATGCTGAAAGTTGATCTGTTTTATTAGCAGCTAAATAGGAAGAAGAAGAAATGGGAATTTATATTCAACAACAAATGCCGTCTCAGCTGACCCCCCCCCCCCCCCCCCCCCCGCGGGGGGGGGGGGGGGGGGGGTAGTGTATATGCAGCATTCCCTTACATGAACATAAGAGTAGAGGTGGGTGGGTGGATGGGGGGGAGGGGGTCTAAATATAGAAGGTTACTTTATCTGGATGTGAGGTTCTGGTCTCACCGTAGTGTTAGAGCTCAGGCTCTCCCCCCCCTCATGTTGGGGGCCTTGGTAGACCCTGAGCTGAGGATGTTCAGGGTAGTCTGAACCTGGATGTGCAGAGCTGAAGTCCAGAGGTGGCAGTCTACCTGCAGATGTTGGGGGGCCTTGTCCTGGAGGGGGGTAAGTGGAAGGTGGGGCGTAGACCTGTGGAAGAGCAGGGTCACCGCTGCCAGGCCCAGCCTCCTGGGAGGGGCCTCCCTGCAAAAAGGGAGGAGGAAGAGAATCAGTATACAGTACAGTATACTGGTAATCAGAGCTGTCTCTATAGAGACAGCTCTGATGACCAGTCATTTTCCTCCATCATGAATAAAATCTTTTTTAGTTGTGAATGTAACTACCAATATAACCACAGAATTATTAATTAACCACTACAGATACCATGACGCCTTTTTAAAATGGCTTCTCTGTTTAATCCCCTCTTCACAGTACAAGTGATGCTTAGCCACCAATGAAATCTGATGATGGTCAGAGGAAAATGGAACAGGAGGAAACACCATCTGTGGACATCTGTACCTGTCAATCATCCTGCCCCCTCCTCACCCAGTCCTGCCCACACACCTCCAGACTCAGACAGCCGACTACACATTACACACATTAGGATCTTTTTTTTTTAAAATACATATTTCAACTGAAAACCCCTTCTTTTATCATCTCTGTTTTAATGTACAGTCTGTTCCTCGGTGCTGTCGACTAATTCTAATCTAATCCTAATCTGGTTTAGAGGAACTTCAACCATAGAATATGTTTTAACCCTAACCTAACCACCTGTAAACTCAAGAATTCAATGATAAAGAAATACTTCATGAACCAGGCTTTTAGGAAAAATGAGTGTTGGTGTAGTAATACATCTGTCTGACATGGGCTCCTGACACAAACAAACAAACAAACAGTTGTCAGTGTTTTACCAACACCAAAACAACAACCTCAGCTCAGTCAACAATAAACAAGAACCTCATTCACATGAGATATTCTTCCCTCTCCAGGGCAATGGCTGGGGGGTGGGAATGGGGGGTCACTCCAAGCAGCAGGTGCCCATTTACACTCACATTCACACCTGTGGAGTGAACAGTTAACCTAACCTCGTATGTTTGTATGACTGTGGGAAGAAACCACAGAAAATAAATGCAGTGCAGCATTTATAATGAAAATATTGCATGAATAATGTAAACATGATATTTATTATCATTACATTGTATTTAAGGAAAAGAAGGAAAGTTAACTACTTGTCATTGTGACACAGCACGCCACTGCACCACTGCACACAACCAAATGTGACCTCTGCTTTTAACCCATCACCAAAGTGAACAGGGGGGCAGCTTTAAACGCCTGGAGAGCAGTGTGTGGGGACAGTGCCATGCTTAGAGCACCTCAGTGGTAACTTGGCAGCTGGTGGACTCGAACCTGAATTTTTTATTTCTTAATTATTTATTTCTGTGAGATTTTCTTTTCTCTCATTTGTTTGTATTATTAGTCGACATATTTAACCAAATCAAATTTCCCTGAAAGAATTTCACTTATGTGATGAATTTTAGAAGTTCCATCTTTACATCTACATGTTGCCTTGGTTTGTCAGCCAGCTTTGGTATAATCAGATGTCTTATATCTGTGCTCTGCCTGAAGGTGTTAGACGTTTAAGGTGTGTGAATGCTGGCGGAGAACAGCTGTGTCTGTGTGGTCTGTTGATTTGAACACCTGATGGTGAACAGTCTTGACCGTCATCACAGTTTGTCATCAAAATCGTTCAGTCACTGTGGAGCCCCTGCTGGGCTCCTGTCCTCCTTCCTCCTCATTCTACATCTCCTCCTTTTAAGCTTTCGAAAATGTCCATTTGTTCCCCTTTCTCTCATCTCCCTTTGCAGCTGTCAGCTCAAGGTCAGAGGTCAACAGCACTGAGCCAGGTGCATGCTGGGACAGCTGCCACCGGATTTACACACAGACAACAACAACTGCAAGTTTTTTTTTTTATACTATTGCCATCCACTCTACAGTTGAAGTTTTCACTCAGATCCTGATCGGAGGAAGACACAGTTTAAATGTGTCTTCTACCTGTGTGACCCAAATGACCTTAATATATCCTGAAAGAAATACTGTACCAAAGTGTAACTGGAAACACTGTCTGCATATGGAATTATTGAAATGATCAAAAAAAAACAAACTTGTTGTATCTACTGCATGGGTTAAAACACTGATGAAATGAACTGAAAGTGAACTGATGTGTGCAGTTCAAAACACACACTGCCAAATACAAAATGTTTAAATGTGAGTGAGTACACAGTGACACCTTTTTTAAGGACAGTTGACAGAGGAAAACAAAAAAGGTGACAAGATCTCCTCCTGTGATTATCGACACAACAGAGACGGCTAAAAATACAGTCGGTGTGAAGTGAAAAGACAAGGAAGAGAGATAGCAAATGTATTGTAGCACTAGTGGTATGTCAGGGACACTGAAATGCACGCACACACACATATTATTATTGTGTTTGCATTGTAGTATTGAAAAGAAATGTATTTTTAAATTCAACATTTATTTTGTTGCTCAAACAAAATAAATGTTAGACATTATTGAGCATTCTACAGTCCATGGCCCAGTCAAAACAGAGCAGTTTGATTAGTCAATCAGTTTAGGTATGCAATCTAGAGGCAAATTGTTTGTTGTTCTGTAAAGTATAATGTCAGTTTATTTATTTTAGAAAGAAGTTCTTAACTTTGACTTGAGGTCAAATGGGTCTTACAGCATTTAAACTGTGTTTTATTACATATTACAAGTGGTTGTTTCTATTTCTCTGTTTTTTTGACATTCATGTATACACACATCTCCTTGTACGTCCTGGGTTTTAAAACCTTGGTAGACCCTCAGCTTAAGGTCCAAAACTGAAGTCAGATTTTGCGAGAACAGAGTAGGTGAGTCTTTACCTGAACTATGCTGGGGTAGCATGTGGTGGTCTGTGGATAGACAGGCAGTCCATATGGCTGGAGAATCACAGTAGGTGAGGACAGCATAGCCCAAAATCTCACTGAGAAAGTCAGAGGAGATCAGGGAAAGGACGGTTGAGAAGCAAACAGTGGAGCGGTCAATCAGGCGAAGAAGACAATTCCCAACAGGAGGAAAACAGAAAGTCCAAACTGTCTGGACAAGGCGAAGCTTGAGATTCAAGAAAATGCCGAGATTATTTTCCCATGTCACCAATATCCTTTCAGGAAAACACAGGACACGGAGCAGTGAAAGAGAAAGCCAGTGAGCTTCTGTGTGTCCATCAGTCGATCATGCAGCCTGACAGACTGAAACACATGCTGGGGGTCTCATTTCAGAGTTATATAAATAGTCACCATGTCCTTCGGCCTGAGTTTAGCACCTTAACCTCCCTTACTCTCAGACGCGCTAAACTCCTTACAGACCTAACCTGCCTATTTGATTAAGCTCTGGTGTCAGTAAATCTACAAATAACAAGAATCCTGCAGTGATATTATTTATAACAATGGGGGTGGGGGGCTGTAACAGAGCTGTAACAGATACATACAAACATGTGAGGCTAATATTTCAGCCATGATTACAAGGACTTGTGATAATAATCTTGATTTTGGCCACAGATTAAAAATTAAATAATATCCCAAATATCTACGTACATTTACTTTTTTAATCAAACGTGTAATACTTCTAGATGTCATTGTGTTGTTTGTGTTTTGAATGTTTATTTGATTCTGTGATGTTGACCAATAGGGGGCGAAAATGTAATATGCCACTTCCGCTTTTATAGCGAAGGAATGATGGGAAATGTAGGACCTCCGCCAACCATATAAATTACACACGACTTCCTTTATCGCTCTCTTTACTGCGCGAGCCTGGAGGAAGCAGGTAGGAGCTTAACGTCCACGCTCTACAGAGCACCACAGCAAAGTGATTAATGCTCTAGTTAGACAAACTCAACAGAAAGTAATTCAGCAATGTTACAAAGACGCGTTGCTGAAAGTCAATTCATCCTTTTTTGGAGCTTTACAAAAGAAAAAACAAAAATGCTATGCTAATGATAGCTAGCCGCGGAAAAAACGTGGTTAAGTGCGGTTGAGGCCTTCTCGTTACAATGTAAAATAATCGTTATTGCTTGATATCATTATTACTCCTTATCCCAAGTTTAATCACAGCATTTTAAAAGTTTGATGTGTTCTCTATCTTAATATTATAGGCACTTATAAGCCGCCATGCCAGTTGCCAGGAGTTGGGTTTGTCGCAAGACGTATGTCACCCCCCGCCGTCCCTTCGAGAAATCCCGTCTCGATCAGGAGTTGAAACTCATTGGTACGTTGTGATATGAATGACCTGTGGCATATTCGACCTTTATTTTAAATGGTTTTTTAATAAAATGTGAACTTTCTCGAAGGCGAGTATGGGTTGAGAAACAAGCGTGAGGTGTGGCGGGTGAAGTTCACACTGGCCAAGATTCGTAAAGCTGCCAGAGAGCTCCTCACTCTTGACGAGAAGGACCCCAAACGTCTGTTTGAAGGTATGTCAATGTATTGGTATTACTACTCTAATTTGGTGGCCAGTGATTTAAATATCAATTGTCAGACTCTTCTGTGGTGTCATGAATTCCTCGTCAATGAGGCCAACGTCCAACTAGACTTGTCACTTGGTTTTTCAGTTTAGAAATGAAAGTAATTGGCTGGCCTTTTTCTACTCCAGGAAATGCCTTGCTTAGACGTCTTGTAAGAATTGGTGTGTTGGATGAGGGTAAGATGAAGCTCGATTACATCCTGGGTCTGAAGGTTGAAGATTTCTTGGAGAGGAGGCTACAGACACAGGTCTTCAAGCTCGGACTGGCCAAGAGCATCCATCATGCCCGTGTCCTAATTCGTCAAAGGCACATTCGGTAAGATGAACGCTCCTGAAGATCAAATGTTACTCATCAAATGGTGTTCATTTTTGAAGGAACTGTCAATGCTTCCTATCCCATCAGAGAAAGGCCAACTTGTAATGCTGTCCGCTGAGATCAGTTATACAATTCAGCAAGGTCAATTCGGTATCAAAACCGTACACCTTGTCGCTAGACATTGCCCAGAGCCAATCCTGCCACTGAGGGCTCAGAATATACCATTGTGAGGTTGTACTGGACAGGTAAGGTGTGGGGGATTGCACCTCTGGCAATTGTGGTGCTCACAATTGTGTGATGTACCATATAAAATGTTTCAAATCACAGCTACATGTTGACTTGAAATTGTAGATTTTGAACCCTTCCAAATTTGTTTTGGCTCTCATTTGGGGATGAGAGCATTGTTGTCTCTGCTGTTTTATATTTCAAAGTGATGACACATTTGGGGAAATCAACAGCAGTTCACATTCGTTTGATACTAATTATTAGTAATTGACTTTACTTAAATAATTGTCTATTGTATTTAGCACTTACATCAGCATTTTCATACAGGAAAATGCATCTTAAACTGGGCAAAGTGTCAGAAAATGGTGGTAGATGGACCATACTTGTACATTGGCTTCAGGACAGACTCCTAAATTTGACAATTTTAAAGGCTGGAAGAGCAACACTAGTTTTCTGCATTACTCCATCTGTTACATTTTGCATTTAAATCTGGATGAGATAAATGCAAAGCTTGGATGCAGAGCAAACAGTTGTAATCTCTCGTCTCAATCACCATCTTGCATGTATTTTGCAGTGTACGCAAGCAGGTGGTGAACATCCCCTCCTTTGTGGTTCGTCTGGACAGCCAGAAGCACATTGACTTCTCCCTGAGGTCTCCATACGGTGGTGGACGCCCAGGCCGCGTCAAGAGAAAGAATGCCAAAAAGGGCCAGGGAGGAGCTGGTGGAGCTGACGATGAGGAGGAGGATTAAAAAGGATGTTTTGTTTCCAGCGAGTTTGAACCCTTTGTCATACTGAAGTTTCAATAAAATTGTTCAGACCAGAAATTTGTTTTTGTCTCATTTATGTATTAAGTTAACTGTTCGTAGTACACCAGGATGTGCCTTCATTTCCCAAAGGAACTCTTATTGAATTAATAGTTCTATTTTGAACTACCATGAAACATGATCGTTCACTGTGGATGTACGTCCTCGTGTGACAAAGTCCACGAATCCTATTTACTACCTCTGTTGCATGGCCTCTCATTTTTGTATCTTCAGGTCACTCACAATGACGTCATATCCGCCATCCAGGAAGTCAAGTAGCGGAGACGTTTTGGTGAAAGCGGAAATTGAGAGTCGTCGTGTCTGACTTTAATTCATAACCGTAAGTGTTTGTAAATATTATGTTCTACTTGCTTTTTATACCAAGTACATGCGGTGCTAGTATTGTGGGCCAGGGGTTTTTCTATAGACTTCTAGGAGGAAAATGTACGAACAGTTCTCGTTCTTTACGTTTAAACGCTCCATTAACTGTAACGCAGCCGAATGCAACATATTTCACAGATTTCAGGCGTCGATGCAAGCGAAGAAGAATAAACGCAAGTAGTTTCAGACATACAATAATTAAGACGTGAACCATAACATAACTACCGATGTGTTCAAATCCTCCTTTGTTAACCGCTTTAACGGTAAATAAATCGCCAGTTTTTAAAAAAAAGCCATGCTTCCCTGAAAGCTTTAGCAGAAAACCAAGCAACAGGCACAGCTACAACTTTGGATTTGGTCACAGGTCGTTGCATGCGCCATTAACTTTCACATGGCAACCTACCTTTGACGTGTAGTGAAACTAAAGGCATACAAAGCCCTTAAAACACATGGTTTCCATGTGCAAATGCTATAAGCAAGATGTAATGCTTTTCATATTATAATTACATCATTAGTCATTTGTTGTATGCAGATGACATTGTGATCTATAGTGAGAGTAGGCAGCAGCTTGAAGATAACCTAGAGAAAGGAAGAACAGTGAAATAGCGAGGTTACAAGGAGCAGAGGTGGTGAAGGTGCAGGAGTTTAGGAATTTAGGACCAACTGTTCAGAGCAGAAGAGACTGTGGAAGAGAGGTGAAGAATAGAGTACAGGCAGGATGAAACAGCTGGAGAACAGTGTCAGGAGTGATCTGTAACAGAAGAGTGTCAGCTAAGGTGAAGGGAAAGGTTTACAGGACGGTGGTGAGACCAGCCATGATGTATGGTTTAGGGACGGTAGCAATAGGCAGAAGACAGGAGGCAGAGCTGGAGGTGGCAGAGTTAAAGATGCTAAGATTCTCTTTAGGAGTGACAAGAATGGACAGGATCAGGAATGAGGTCATTAGAGGGACAACACAGACAGGAAGGGTTGGAGAAAAAGCTAGAGAAGCCAGATTGAGATGGTTTGGACATGTGCAGAGGAGGGACAGTGGATACATTGGTAGAAGAATGTTAGAGATGGAGCTACCAGGTAGGAGACAAAGGGGAAGGTCAAAGAGGAGATATATGGATGCAGTGAGGGAGGACATGCAGATAGTTGGAGTCAGAGGAGGAGATGCAGAGAACAGGGAGAGATGGAAATCAATGATTTGCTGTAGCAACTTCTGAAAAAAGGGACAAAGCATGTAAAGAATTACATCATTAGTCATTTATACCAGCATACTCCCTTGAGAAATAATTGTTGAAATTTGTCAACAACTTGAGAAATGTTCGAGTAAATCGTTGAACAACTATGGGCTTACGTGACAGAGAGGAAATGTCACCAGAATGGGAGCGATCATTGAACATTTTAGTCACAAAGTTCAAAATAACTTTACATTTTAAAATGTAAAAGTGACACATATGATCATAAAATGTGGTACACCTACACTTTAACATTCATTAGAGCCTACTGCTGTTTTCTACTGTTAACATACTGTTCATTCAAACAGTACCTGTCAGGAGTGCCTGGTAATGTGACAATTCTGATAAATATTCCAGTTTGAGGACAAATGTCTTCTTGTCATGTTGGATTTTTTAAAATAGCCAATAGCAAACATTAGTACAGACATGTATTTGCATTGCATACAATCTTCACTACAATACATTGTAAGAAACTACATGTACATGAAACAGCCTGGGTGGCGTCCATGACAGCGTCGCCATAATTATATCTGAAATTATAATATTCTGAAATGGTCATGTTGCTTTATTGAAGAAGTTCTAAAGGCCAAAGAGCTTATTAAAAGTTAATAAATTTCTCTGACTTTTTTAACCGAATGAATGGGGTGAATGTGCAGATGAGAATCCAAAATAAAGCCACATCAGGTGAAACTGTTGTGAGCAAATGTTTTGTAGGCTTCCTCAACTATTTAGGTATTGATTGTGCAAAGTTAGGGCAAATATGTAACTTTTTGTAATTTTTTAAAAGTATTGTAGAATACTACATTGAGAAGCATGTCAACAACACACTATAAATATCACTGTGTTTATGCTGGACACATGGAAATGATTTGTATTGTTGGCCACTTGAGACACTTATACACTGTGTGTTTGTGTGTGTGTGTGTGTGTCGGCAGAGCCATGACTCCTGATGAGCTGGTCTACCTGAAAATTCTTGCTGCTTCCATTCTTGTGGGTTTTCTCTTTCGTTACCTCAGTGAGTACAATGGTCACTCCAGACACACTAACACTGTAATACATATAAATATATTTAATGGATTTTGTGTTTTGTATCTGATGGCATTTACCCTGTTTCCTCTGAACCACATTTCTGTTTAAAACTCATTCAAGTTTAACTGAAAATGTGTTAGTGTGAAAGTAATAGTGAAATGTTGATCCTGAGAACAGTATAATGTGTGACATAACTAACCGTACATGAGTACTGTAACTCTAGATGAGTACTGTAACTGTACATGAGTGTAACAAGCCCTACACAATAAATATCAGTTTTCCAGACAGCTTCCCTTAACTTTATTGGTCAGGTTTTTGCTTGTGTTCAGAGAACCAAGTCATGCTGTGATGTTGATGTTGTATCAAAGGCTTGCTTTGATAACCAGGTCCACCTGTGAAGCAGGGAGCAGCTCTTCTCCTGGGCCTTAGCTTCACCATTGCTACCTGTCACATTCACACACTCCACTCTCTGCTGACTGCACTTGGAACATGGCTCATTATTAAAGGCAGCTGGAGGTAAGTGCTGAACATTGGATTTGCATGCAAAACAAAACTCATGATGTCAGACAGAATCTTTTTGACACACCATGCTTTGTGTGTCATTGGCTTTTTCCCTCCTCAACACATGCAGGTTGAGGAATAAACATTCTTAATATGTCTTTGTGTGATGTGATGGACAGGCTGCATTCAAAGATCAGTCCCTTAGAGAGATCAATGCCTGGAAAGACACAATCAAATAAAAAAAATTATATTTTTGACTTGTATTCTCTAAATAATATCATAATTTATTGTTAAACAACCTCACAACCCAACCAAC